TACAAGAGTCTTTCACTTGTTTTTCAAGTTCAAAGGGGTTTTAACAAAATTAGATTGTCGTAAATCAACGTTTCGAAGTTTTATTTCTTTGTAAATTATGAAAATGGTCTTTAACATTAGGCGAAATATCTCTATATTAATATTTAGCTAAAATAGTTTCTACATTTTTCTTTATAATTTTTTTGGTCTTTTCGCACTGTTATAAAAGTTTGACCATTTTAAGTTCAAGTCAACAAGGGTATTTTCAAGTCAACAAGGGTATTTTCTATTTATTTGAAAAAAAATTAAAATAGAAAAAAAACATAAAATTAATTTAAACTTGAATTTTACAGAAAAAATAAAATAATATTAAATTAAAAATCTTTTTTAGAAAATTGAGATTTAATTTTCAAAAAAACTTTTCGGCCAGTTATTTTTTTTTAACCCAAACCCGTCACTGTAGAATTTTCATCCTATATTTTAACGATGAAAATAAAAATATTTTTTTAACGAATTAATTTGAAATAAACAATGCTAAATTAATTAAAAATTAAAATTACCAAATAATGAAATAATAGTAAATTAATAAAATATTATTTTTTAAAAAAAATCAAATTTTAATATTTTAAAAAACATTTTCGGCAAAATGTTTAAAACCAAGCCTACCACTGTAGAATTTTCATCATATATTTCATCCGATATTTTTTAAATTCTGCCATTTTTTTTTAAGAATCTACTAGTCTACTAATAGGAAATATATTTTCCTAAAATTTCATAGGTTAAAAAATATTCAAAATAAGAAACTAGATTATAATAAAATCCTAAATATTAATTTAATTATTCTTATATTGGAAATTTTTGTAAAAGCACTATTTTTACTTTATTCCGAGCGTACCAAATTAAAAATAATATAAAATTTGTGCAAAGAAGGTACCATTTGTTTTATTTTTCATTTTAGTTTAAAAATTAAAATCATAAATTTTCATTAAATTAATATTTATTTTAATTCGTAATTATTTTATGAATATAATTATTTTAATGCTTATCTTAATATTTTAGTCAATATTATTTTTTTAAAAACTAAATATTTTTTATTCCCAAAAGACCCCTATTAACTTAAACCCAAATATGGTCAAACTGTTAGAATAAAGTCAAAGGACCAAAAAAGTTACAATGAAAAATGTAGAGAACCATTTCAACCAAATGTTAATATAGAGAACCAAAATATGTGTTTGGCTTGATGTAAAAGATCACTATCAGAATTTAGTCTTTTTTTATTTAATCATGATTATTGTTATGACAAAAATAATTAAAAAAAAAATTTACGCCTATAATACAAAACAACACCTCCAACTATTTTGGAAATCTGATAATAATATGTCTAGATTCTGATAGCCTGAAGTAAGACACATATCTCCATTATCTATAGCATAAAGATAAAAGTGTGGGTGAGCCAAAAAAATTTTAAAATATGATTGGCCAGAAGGTTTATTCCCCAAATATGATTGGCTAGACAGTCATATGACATAAAGCTTACATCACTTTTTTAATTAGGGGCACAACAGTAATTTAATAAATAGTCATTTTGTTTTTTTAACTACCGATCACCCGTGCAGCGCGATGTATTGCTCTTTTAAAAAAACACTCGCGGGTCGACTTCCAGGTTATAAGTTGCCCCCCGAGTCTTTAAACCGGGTCGTCTTGGCCCACGACCAGCGACTCTTTTTTTTTTTTTTAAACTGAATGACTGTTTTAATCAGGACTGCATTATGCACGCGGGTCACACCGCGGGTCAACGCGGGTTATAACATGACCCGCATGCAATTTGCTGGTTCCGTTTTACTTTTGTTTCTTTTTCCCTTTTTCGACTAATAACAAAAACAGTCCAAAAGTTTATCTTATTATCTAGAACACCCACCAATATACCAACAATTTCAAAGACCCCTGACCAATTGGGTTTGAAAGTCAAACCGTTTCCTTTTTCGTAGGAGTATTATTTTGGAAGAAGTCATTTTTATTATTTCTTTCACTTTTTCATCTTATATGTGTTGCAAAATTCTTAATTGATTTCTTCAATATTTGTATTAGAAACTTATTTTTTGTTGTTTCAAAAAAATTATTTTAGTTTCCTTTTTGTAGATTCAAGTTTTATCTTTAAATAAATTTTTTTTTAATATTTTACAAAAAAATATTAAAAAAACAAGAATATATACTAATTATAAGTGTAGACAGTGTTTCCTTTCCTTTCGGCTCATTGTACTCGACTTTGACTCTTACGTTCGGCCATTACGCAATTCAAGTTAATCCATGTGCATAGATCTAGAGTTTATTTGCATAATTCAAGACTCCATGTGCAAGGATTCATACTCTATACCTTATGTCTACAAATCCAAACCTTATCTACATAAAGTCAGAGTATATATGCATAATTTGAGACCCCATGCACATGAATCCATACCCGATGTGCATGGATTAAGACTCCATGTACATAATTCGCACAGATAGTATCTAAGATATTGCAGATGTGCTATTAGCCCATGCGCTAACAAAACAGAGATCTCCCTTGCAATTACTTTGGAAAAAACTGGTGAAGGAGGTTACGCTTTATTGCTAAACCAAAAACATGTTTTTGCATTTTTTCCCTCTCCACTATCATTTTATATTTTTTTTTTTTGTTAATATTAGTGTCGCTTTTTTAAATTTTATTATATTAATTTTCACCCTAACTTTTTTCTTATTAAACCTTCTTATATATATATATATATTCAATAATATATTAGCAACTCAGAGACAATATTTACATGTGTGAGTGTAACATGAATATACATACCCTAACATAAATTAATAAAAAATAATAGAAAAAAATAAAATGTGTAAAACTTACTATTAACCTATTTGCAATGGTTATATTGTACTGACTACTCAAACATTTTTTATTATATCTAAATTGTTTTTCCTTTTTTTTAACTCTAATTTCCTAAACAGTTATATAGTTTGAATGTTTCGAAATTGAGCAAATTCATGGAACCAGCATTCCTAAACAATTAGTGCTAACCAGTAACTGGTGAGAGTTATCTCCGTCATTTGATCCAGTTATAGTATGAATGTTTCGAAATTGAGTCTCCCCGCAGCAATTGATAAACCTTCATAGCCATTTTTAAGGATGTTTATGCACAGTTTTCGATAAAACTCTGTTTCGCAATGACCATCTACAAGTCACAAGGGTAGACACTGGAGTGCGCCACGTTGTACTTACATAAACCGATCTTCTCTAGCAGATAGTTGTATGTGGCCCTCTCTTGGGTCAAGACATCCAGATTCCTAAAAGTACTCCTAATGCCGCCAGCGTTATAGGACATTGTTGAGGGTACCAAAACTTGAACTTCGATGTTGGAAGAAATATTACAACTTACAACAACTTGATATGGATAAAAAAAAAATCAAAAATAGATTCATCTTATTAATTGTTTTATTTAGCACATAGTTATACTTGCTACAATTTACTCCTTTCACTTAATATAGAATATTTTACCAGTTATTTTTATAACAACAAAATCAAATAACAAAGCAAACTTATTCAAAAAACAAAAACTAAGATAACAAATTATTTAGAATGCGTCGCGCGTTGCGCGACTGATCCTCAGCACTAGTAGGTGCATATAATTTGACACATATCGATTTAGGTAATCTAATAGTGTCTCAAGATTATGTAGTGAGTAGTAAAATTTGAAGCTGATAATAGTAGAAATATTATGTAGTCAAATTTGAAACTTTAATGTAATACAACGCGTGCATAACGATTTCCGTAATCTGATAAGGTAGAAGGTTGTTGTAATTTCCTATTTTGTAATTTGAATTAATTTCAATAATTAGTAAGTCCAATTTATATGTTCACTACAATGTACATACACTACTTATGTTGAATACAAATGTGGAGTTTGAATATCTTACATTTTTAAGCAGCTGGTCCCGGAGTGTGAAATATCATAAAATTATGAGGAGTATATATGTTGATAGCCATTTACATGTTAAATTGAGTAAATCTTAATTTGATTCAACTATAGCTTTTGCTTATGAAATAGGTTTATATGGATGTGATGAACCAGTTTGGACGCACTTAATCTATGAGTTCATATTCGTTACATGATTGATTGGTGAATAAGAATTTTGTTCATAAATAATTTTGCTCTTCTTTTCATTACAAACGAGGCATAAAGCCTCAGACTAAACAATTTTTCTACAACTATCTTGGTTAATAGTTTATTTTTGGCTTATTATTATTATTATTATTATTATTATTATTATTTTACCTTTAAAACTTCAGTATTATAATCATTAAGAGTTAACGATTAATTATGACATACTAAAAGAATGAAATAAAATATAATAATCAACTCAGATAATATTCACATTCCCAAAGGAAAAAAGAAGAACAAAATTCAATCCATTATCATATTACGATTCAGATTATGGTATAGAGGTCTTTATTTAGACCGTTCATAAATGACAATATCTAGTCACTAAATTCGTTACTCAAAATGGCCACGACCTTAATAGGAAAAATTTAACCAACCACACAGAGTTTTCCATAAGTTCGTCCATTCTCCAGCAAATCAAGAACCATCCCTTTCACAAATTTCTCCAATAGTAATTTTCTCTCATCAAACTTAACCAATTTAGTCATGGCAAGAAGGACCAGCCGAGGCCGCCAACATATTGAAATGGCCAAGGTGAAAAACGAAAGTAACCTCCAAGTCACCTTCTCCAAGCGCCGAACCGGTGTTTTCAAAAAGGCCCATGAATTGAGCATCCTGTGCGGTGCAGAAGTTGCCCTGATAATCTTTTCTCCTGGTCAAAGGGTTTACTCCTTTGGCCATCCTTCTGTTCATACCATAATTGAGAGATTTCTCAAAGATCAGAAGAATCCATCCGTTGGTGATTCATCATCCCCGGTGGTTTTAACAACGATGACTGCTACTAACCGTATCATTCATGCCCGCAGAAACGCACAGGTTGAGAAGATGAACAAGGAATTAATGCAGCTGGAAAAGCAATTGGAAGCAACAAAGAAACGCGCAGAAGTGCTGGCCAGAGCGATGAAGGAGGATCAACAAAAACAGTGGTGGAAGAGGCCCATCGAAGACCTAGATGTGAATCAACTTATGATATATGCAATCGCCTTGGAGGGGCTCATGAAGAAAGTTAAAAAGAAAATGCCTCCGGTTTCTATTGAAGGAGGCAGTGCTCCTTTTACGGATCTTATTGGAGTTAATGACATTTATGGTCATATTTCTCTTAATGCTGACAATTTCATTAATCAAATTCATGGGAGGGCTGAAGGTGGGCAGGTTATCAATCATCGTCGCCCATCTGTTGCTGGCGGCGATGATGTGCAAAAGGATATTGATCTGAATCGTTCAGTCTCGCCATCAGGATCTGGTAGTTCAAAAAATGATGATAATAAGAAATCTGTCCGTGTTCATCAATTTATTTAGGTTTATCTAAGATGACGACAATGGTCTGATAGGCTCAGATGGATATTTTGATTATTGTTGTGCTGTCCTTCATTTGCTTTTTTTTTTTTTTTGGGTTTGTTTTGGTTATGTAACTTTGCCCTTTTTTATTGTTATTCCTTCACGAAAAGCCCCGATATATGTTACTTTGCCCTTTTTATTGTTCTTTTATCCTTAAGAGTAGATTTGGAGGCAAATCCAGAACATCAACTCTGCAAGTGTTCAATTAAAATTCAATATTGACTATTTTTTAATTAAAATTCAATGGGGTGGGAGGGCTGGGTGGGGTGGTTAGGGGATTAAGATGGGAGATGGTTATTACCAGGAAGTCGATGGTTCGATTCTCACTGGGATGATCTAATTTTTTTAAAAAAATTATTATTTTTTGGTATCGTTACACTTCACCAAAAAATAAAAAAAATTGAAATTTTACGACCGGAACCCACAAATTATCATCTTTTTTTTTTCTCAAAGCCGACATGTTTTGGTCGATAAATGTGTTCTTTCTCTTTACGGATATGCATAATTGTGTTTCTTTAAAAAAGAATTAATAGTGAGAAATGTTAGAATTGTAAAAATGTAAAATAAATATAGTATATGACTTAATTTCAAGTTTTGAAAACCACATGGCCTTAACGCAATAGGCTAAGGAAGTAGAGATTTAACTGTATAAATTATTGAAACTTCGAAATTGAATTGGTCTTCTTCCCCCCTCCTTAATTTCTTCGAGGTTTTGCTTATTTTGAAAAGTAAAATATAGCCAAGCTTGTCTTTTCTGAGGATTTCCAGCGATGGAGGATGAATATTTTGAATGTGCTCACCCAACAAACATACCCATTTAAACTTATAACTCAAAAAATTTTTACAGTTCTGGATGTGCCCGGGCTTCTCCGAGAACATGAAGTAGATCCGCCCCTGGAGGACCTTAGTTTGGATAGTGAGTTGTCGTTGCGTTGTAATCAATATTGAAGCGATGCAATCAAACCAAGTTGTTTTTGCAATTTTATTTTCCTCATTACCTACATCTTTTTCCCAATTTTCGGAGAATTTGTAGTTCCATCTTTTACGGAAAAATTTAGTCTATTTTCCTAATCATTTATTATCAAAATATTGAATATAGATTTTTGAATTAAAGGCTTGTATATGGGCATAGATATTGGGTGAAGGGGTTGCTGAATTTAATATCATCTCTTGCAAATACACTTAAGAAGCCCACTCAATATTTCTATTTTTATTAATTTAAATCCTCATTGTGAAAAATAAAATCATTCACGATACTAGTCATTTTTATTCATAGTGCAACTTATATATATATATATATATATATATATTTAGATTGAAAGTTGTCTATAGTGATTTAGTACTAATATATATTGCTATTTACTTATTGTTTTGCTAGTTATTTGTACGTATTTCATCTAAATCTAGCGATTAGGAGTGGTTTTATTTTCCAATTATGACATCAATTAGCGGTACGCAACTGAGATTCTTTATTCGTCTAGTTCATCTAGATTTTTCGATTCGGAGTGGTTTTGATTTATCAATCATTAAGTCAACAATTCATACTTGAGATTTGATGATCATTCACACCTTCTTGATCTAGATACGTCCAACAATTCATACTTGAGATTTGGATGATCATTCACACCTACTTGATCTAGATACGTCGATTAGAAATCTCCTTCAACCTCTTGAAATCAGCTACCACCAAAGACACATGTCAACTCATTATGCCATATTCTCCCGCCTACAACACAAAGCTAGGATAGTTTAGTTTGTAAAATTCAGGCAAAGAAAATTAATAATAAATTTTAGTAATCTCTAAAATATTAGCTATGATATTTTCTTATCCAAGCATTGACCGTAGACTCAATGTTTCATTTATTTCAAAATTCAAATGAACCAAATTCCTCAAATTAGGGCTATAATCATGCTAGTTCCGCATAATAATCATTTTTCTAAGCAAAAGATATGTTATTGTCAATCCGCCAAGGCTGAGTCACTTGTGTTTTATCACGTCAACTATTCATACGCGTTTGAGACTGTGTTGGGGTTTTGTTATCATAAAAATTTAATTATTAAGAAAAATTGGCAAAAATCTTCTCAATATATCAATTTGGTATACTATTTGGATAACTATTAACAACTAATATGTCTGAACAAAGTGAGAATGCTCATCATGAATGAGCGGGATTTAATTTGTGGTTCATTATTATATCTAGGGGGTTCATTGTAATTTAGTTAATAAAAGATAATTTTGATGCAAAACCCCCCTTAAACCAAGATCAAGTTTAACAAAGACAAATTGATGTCTCATTGGTGTCCTAGTTCTTGGAGGGCTTTCTTATGAAGTCAAGACCTAAAACTGTAAAACGAATAATCAGATTTATAATTGATTTAAGAAAGAATGAAAATGATACCCTAAAACTGTGGTATAAAAGCCCAATGAGAAAGGGAGAAAAATTTAGATCACGTAAAAGAATCATATTTGAGACGGAAATTTTTTTTCCTTTTTTTTGGGGTTGGGGGTTAAATATAAAAAGTGTTTTTAAATTACAAGTTTTAATAAATCACAAGATATTTAAATAAATTAATGATGTGGCATTTGACATGACTATGCCATGTGATGTCAATCTGGAACCAAGCTAACAATTATCATAAATGAAATTTGGCTCTTATGACAAACTGATAGCGACTTGTAATGTGGAAGTATTTAATTTAGAGAAGTTTAAAGATTGGTATGATAGTTTGCCCCTTTTGAGAGAGGTTTTATGGTAGACCACCTATAAAATAGATGTGATGATAATTTGATCTAAGAAACAAACACAAAAATTTAACTTATGGAAGAGCACCTTGATTATAGAGCTATGCCTTTCTAACAACTATGAATCAATAACATTGACTATAAAAGGATCAAGACCAATGTATATATCTATAGTGTAAGAAAACAAATGCTATGACGGCCTCAATTGAAAGAAACACTTTTCAATTGATAAGTCCCTTATGAAAACAAAAAACAGAATTTTGCAATAACCCGTCAAGTAAGGTAACAACCCAACAGTAAGTTTAATGAAATCTCAACATCATTACAATGAAGAATTCGACCCCTTTATACTTAAAAACTAAAAAAGGATCTCCCAATTATTCTGATCTCATGTTTTAAGCAGATAAAATAGGGATTTTACTACAACTCTTTTTTCTGTTTTTTGGTAAAAACTATATATATCTATATATATATATATATATATATATATACACACACATATTGATTGAAAGGAGGGTCCATAGCATATTTACAACCAAAATTGCTCTACTATAAGTGTACTACTACAGTCCTATTCTATACATCGAAACAAGTTCTGCAAAATTCTGCTTTCACTAAGGGACCGTTTTGAAGACAAACAGTTCTCAACTCTCCAGTGCACTTCTTGTTGAATGATTTTAAGCAGCTGAACTGGGCTTCTTTGTTTTCCACTAAAAATCCGCCCATTATGTTCTTCCCATGGATGATAAATTGTGACATTCATAGCTGAACAAAATATCCCCCTCTTTAATCTAGTCCCTCTCCTTATTCTCAATACCTGTGCTCTCCATACTCTCTGGTTTTTTGACATTGCTGTGATTCCCAGCCACCTTTTAACCAGTACTAACACCTCTTTAGAAAACTGATAGTCAAAAAAGATTTGTTCTGAAGTCTCTTGGTTCTGCTAACAGAACACACATACTCTATCTCCACTAAGGACATTTATTTTGGCTAATCTATCCTCAGTTGCTAATCTATTTAACAAGAAGAACCAAATAACAAAACCATGCTTTGGGATATTATCACTGGAACATATGAATTGAGCTGCTGGGAAGTTCTCATGCTGACCTAACAACCATTTGTATCCAGAGGAACAGTATATTTTCCTGAGGCTAAGTGCTTCCATTTGGTTCCTTCAAATTCATCCTTCACCTTCTCTTTTAAGCTCATAAGCCTTTTCTAGGACCAACTGGAACTATGCTTTGCTTGAATTTGCCAGAAATCATGCTTCTTCATATAATTTTCATGGGACCATTTTATCCACAGATTATCTTTTTTACAGGATAAGCTCCACACCTGCTTGAACAAGGCTGCTTCATTCCACAATTTTGCATCCTTTATATTGAGTCCACCCTCAATTATAGGTCTACACACCTTATCCCATCATACCAGATTCATAGTCCTGCCAGCTTCCTTCCCAGCCCACATAAAGCAACGGCATATTCTATTAACCTGCTGGACAATGCTCTAAGGTAAAATGAAAGCAGAAGCCCAAAAATTATTCATCATGAGCAATACAGAGTTTACCAATTGCAGTCTTCCAGTATAGCTAAGATGTCTGGTGCTCCAACATCTGATCTTCCCTGCTATCTTTTGTACCAAAATTTCACAGTCAAGTGTATTTCATTTTCATGGAGAGATAGGCACCCCAAGATATTTCATCAGGAAATGACCTTCTTTAAATCCACTAATTAGGCAAACCAGTCTTCTCATCTCCTCACGAACTACTCCAAAGTAAATCGCAGATTTATTCTGGTTGGCTATTAGTCCAGTTGTTGCTGAAATCCTCCTGAGTACCTACATGATTTTGCTGACAGTATGGATATCTACGTTGTAGAAGATCATCAGATCATCTGCAACACAAATATTTGTCATTTTTAAGCTCTTGCATTGGGGACGGAACTGGAACTCTCTATCATTAGCTGCATCTTTCAACATCCTTGTAAGATATTCCATGATCAGGACAAAGAGAAGGGGGGATAGGGGGTCTCCCTGTCTCAGGCCTCTCTTTCCTTGAAAAAAATCCATTAAGACATAGGGAGTATGATGTAGTGGAAACACACTCCATAATCCTGTCAGAGAAATATTTAGGGAAGCCATAACCTGCCAGCATCTCAGCAACAAAATTCCACTCTACACTGTCATAAGCCTTTTTTATGTCAATCTTCATTAATATTGTCCCACTGATATTCTTCCTTCCATAATGCTTTATGAGTTCTTGTGTGATCAAAATATTATGCAAGATCATCCTGTTATGCACAAAAGCACTCTGGTTAGTGTCACTATAAGAATCAAATCTTATCTAATCAAATTTAATTTTCGATTTTGGACTTAAATACAATAAACCAATAAAGAAATAAAATAAAACTCATAATAAAAGAGATATTCTCTAAAAAAAAAATCTCCTCCATGTATGTGAAGTATGAACACAATCAGCTTGATAGCAAAAAAATATTCTTTGAGTGTGAACTCAATCAATATCAACTTTGTAGAGTGACCATCCATCTTGATGTAGTCTTCAACTAACAATTGACTAGACATCAAGGAATAAACTTCTTGTTGTTACAAAATCAAAAGCAAATAAAAAGAAAATTATATGAAAACGTATCCTTCCATGAGCATAATAAAATTTAAATGGTCTAATCCATAAAAGATATGGATTCTTCCAAGTCCTACAAATTACAAAATAGTCCAATAAAATTGGTCTGGAACCTCAAAGAAAAGAGTAAAACACGAAAATTCCAAATTATCAAATTAGAAAAAAAATTTGGGAAAATTCTGTACATCATCTATCGGCTTTTTTGCCGAAATTTTTTTTTTAGCCAAAGAGCATGTTGGCTTTAATGCGAACAACATTTTAGCTTTGTTTAGATTTTCCCGAATTGATCCTTTTATCATGATTCTCACCCTTGATGCTATGACCATGTGTCATCAAAGGAGTCAACTACAATTGAAGCGGCTGTTTTTTTAATATATATATATATATATATATATATATATATATCAAAGAAAAACTTAAAAAGCTGTTGCGTTGATTTTACAAAAACTTTCTAACTCTCTTTTCTTTCTTTTTTTTTCCTCTTTCTTTTTTTTTTTAAAAAAAATTTGTCTATACAACAGGAATTCTTGTGATATATATTTTGAATGGCTAAAACATATAATAAAATTTATGTTACAACAATATCTATAAGTACTCATAAACATATATTATTAATTACCAGATATAATTTTGTTTTTCTGATCAAACTTTATACCATAACAGTCTTTAATTTATTATTTATTTTGCATGATGGAAACAAAGGCAAAAAGCCTTAAACCAATATAGATTGGTACACACTCACATTTCGGGATAAACTACCCTGTGATATCATGAGGAATAAACCATGAGTTGACACCATCAAGTGGATCATTAATTCATGGTAGCTGCAATAATCCATTGCTATTAATCTAAAGTTGCAATCATGAAATTTAACGACCAAAAAAACGCATGATTTTTCTGTATTTATCAACTTGTAGCAATTAACTTGACTTAACTTACTGAACCCGTTGTCAATCATATTCCATTTTCTTCGTCGAATTTTACAGAGCTTTTTTGTGCCAGAGAACAAATCAGGGCAAGAATATATTCTACTAACTATCATGTCTAAATCTGAAATGAGCGGTAGCGACCTATCGATTTCTCCCGGTGACAAATCGAACGATCTGTAAACAAAAAAAGGTACAAAAGCCTTGAGCGTCATTCCGTTGCCACTTTTAAACTTCCTCCTCCCCTGGATTATGATGATGTTGGTTTCATTGTTTACCCTCCAGATGATGATCATCATCTTGCTTTCCACTGGGTATTTATCCTTATCCCTAATTCTATCTTCTTCTTCTTCTTCTTTGAATTAGGTCTCCCTTAGCCGGAGGAACAAATCACTCAATTAGGGTAACTGTAATTTAAAATTTACTTTAATGATCTTTCATTGGATTTTGAAGGAGGATTTCAGCAACAAATCTGATATTCATGATGTTAACGATGATTCTGATGATTCTGATTTTGATGACGACGAAGACTACAAGATTGAGGAGGAGAGCGTTAGTTCCCCCTCCCCACTATTTTTAAATATATATACTATCTCCATCCCTCAAAAATAGTCCACATTGAGTTTTCAAATTTGTAGTTAGTAAAAACAATACAAAAATCAAAACTCAATGTTGACTATTTCTTTTTGCGATGGAGGGACTATTTAAAAGAAAGTTATTTCTGAAGGGATTATTTTTTGTCATATTTTTTTTTATTTGTTTGTTAGTTTGATGATTTGTGCCCATCGTTGCTGAATCCTCCTGGAGCCCTGGGCGATGTAAAGCAGGTGAGATCTTCAGTCGCTTTTAAGATCCATTTCCTTTTCGAAAAATCAGATTCTAGACGAGTTAGGGGAAGGATGTTTTCGTTTTTCCTTTTATTTTGCTTTTTCTGATTTGATGTGTTCATCTAGGTCGGATTGAAGAAGATTCCAATTGTGAATGGTAAACTCAGTAGTGTACCTGATGATCATGCCCATTCTGCCACCGCCAGATCAGATCCTGAGATTGTGGATAATGATTTTGTGACTCGTGTTAGTAGTACTGCTCTCAAGTTCTTATAAAAGTTTTCTGTTTTCTGTTTGGTATTTGGTTGGTTCATCTGTTTATTTATTGCTTTGTGGTTTATTTTCAGGAGAAAGAGAAAGTAGGGATCCTTTATAGGGAATTGTTAGTAAATAAACTTGGTTGGTCCATTTAATAATAATATTGGGCCATCTTAATTAATTAGTTAAATCATTAGGCATTATTATAAGTCCAATCCATTTGAAAGAATCATCTAGAAAATAAGTAGAGAAAGTAGTAGAAAAGTCCAAAGAAAATATCTAGATTATGTAAAATAATCAATGGAAATATGTAAAGGAAATATCTAGATATTAGTAAGGAAATATATAGATATTTCCTTACAGGAGAAAAATCTTGAAAGTTTGTAGAATCTTCTATGAACTCCTATAAATAGGAGTTAATCCCCTTAGGTAAAATAAGTGTAGAGAAGTTGTAAGAAACATTAAGCTAAAAACTTAACACACTCCAGCTTGTTCCTTTTACTACAAAGTAGTAAAATTCCCTTTCTCCGAAAATTTCCTTCTCTTCCATTTCCACTTCCTAAATCCATCACCTAAAAGGTCTCCTTCTTATATTCTTTTGCTAACAAACTAGTATAAGAGCTGGTGTTGATCCATCTTTGAAATAAGATGGCAAGTGGAATGATTTCTTTTCAATTCCCTCAACTTACCAAAGAAAACTATGGTAAGTGGCGCATTCAAATGAAGACGATTTTAGGCTCTCATGAGGTATGGGAGATTATTTAGAAAGGTTATGAGAAACCTCTAGATGAGACTTCTTTAACTCCTGCCCAAAGGGGGGAACTCAACAAGGCAAGGAGGAAGGATCAACAATCCCTCTCACTTATCCATCGATGCCTAGATGATTCTATGTTCGAGAAGGTGGAAAATGCTTCTACTTCAAAGGAGGCTTGGGAGATTCTAGAGAATGCTAATAGAGGCATTGAGAAGGTGAAAAAGGTACGCCTTCAAACTCTTAGAGGAGAATTTGAAGCATTGCAAATGGAGGAGTCCGAATCCGTTTCAGATTATTGTTCTCGTGTCTTGAAAGTATCTAATGAGATGAAGAGGAATGGAGAAAGCTTGAGTGACACAAGAGTAATAGAAAAATTACTTCACTCTTTGACACCAAGCTTTGATTATATTGTGGTGGCTATAGAGGAGTCAAAAGATCTTGACTCTATGACCATTGATCAACTCATGGGTACTTTAGTAGCTTATGAAGAGAAACTAAAGAAGAGGAGGACCAAAGAATCTTTGGAGCAAGCCCTCTACACAAAACTCCCTTTCAAAGAAAGATATGAAGGCTTTGGACGTGGCAGAGGCCTTGGACGAGGTTATGGTGCATTTCAAGGACGTGGACGAGGAAGAGCTCGAGGAGGCTAAGTTCAATCCACCAAAGAGGACAACAACCAAGACTCTCAATCTACAAGAGGTTGTGGAAGAGGTATGAAGTTTCTGAAAGGATGTAAATCTCGAATATAATGTTTTAATTGCCAAGAATATGGTCATTATGCAAGTGAGTGAAGAAATTCTAGTCAAGTAAAAGAAAAGCCAATCTTATGGAGGTTAAAAATGAAGTTCAACTCACACTCTTAATGGCGAGACACTAGGATGAAGGAGAGAAGAAGACGTGGTATCCTGACTCCGCTGCGAGTAACCACATGACTAGGGAAAAAAGGTTGTTTGTAGACATGGAACCAGCCAAAGCCTACGTGATGTTTGGAGATGATTCTAGAGCAAGGGTTGAAGGAAAAGGTAAAATATTAATCCTTGCTAAAGATGGAAGTCACTAATACATCTCAGAAGTTTACTACGTTCCAAGTCTCAAGAGTAATATCTTGAGTTTGGGATAACTTCTGGAGAAAAACTACGATATTCATTTGAAAAATCGTATGCCGTAGTTAAAGATCTAGAAGGAAAATTCATCATCATTGTGCCAATGACAAGCAATAGAATGTTCTTATTGAACATTCAACATGAGAATTGCATTAAAGCATGCTTGAAGCATGATCCGTGGATTTGGCACAGTTGATACGGTCATTTAAATTTTGGTGACTTGAAATTATTGTCTACAAAATGCATGGTAAAAGAATTGCCTCCTATCAATCAGCCCAATCAAGTATGTGAAGGATGCTTACTTGGGAAGTATTCAAGGAACGCTTTCCCAAAAACAACAACATCAAGAGGTAAGGAGCCTTTGGAACTCATCCACATAGATTTGTGTGGCCCTATTTCTCCACTATCCCATGGTAAGAACAGCTACTTCATCCTATTTATTGATGATTTCTCTCGAAAGACTTGGGTGTATTTCTTAAAGGAGAAATCGCAAGCCTTTGATGCCTTTAAGACATTTAAGGCTATGGTGGAGAAGGAGAAAGGCTTAAAAATCAAAGCCTTAAAGTCTGATAGAGGTGGACAATTCACATCAAGTGAATTCACAAAATTCTGTGAAAAACATGGGATTAGGCATTTTCTTACAGCTCCTTATTCCCTGCAACAAAATGGAGTTGCGGAAAGGAAGAACCGAACCATTCTTAATATGGTTCGTAGCATGCTAAAGAGCAAGAAGATGCCAAAGGAATTCTGCGCTGAAGTAGTTGATTGTGCAGTGTACCTACTAAATCGATGTCCCATGAAGAGTTTAGAAGAAAAGACTCCACAAGAAGCATGGAATGGGGCAAAGCCCACAGTGAATCACCTACGAGTGTTTGGGAGCATAGCATATGTCCACGTACCAAGCCAAAAGGGGTCCAAACATGATGATCGAAGTGAGAAACATGTATTTATTGGCTATGAAAAGCAGTCCAAAGGCTATAAGCTCCACAATCTAGTCATGAGCAAAGTTATCGTGAGTAGAGATGTAGAGTTTGATGAAGAAAAAACATGGCATTGGAATATTGAAGGTGGTGAAAGCTACAACTTCCTTCTTGTCATCCATGAATATAATGATGAAAGTAGTGATGCGGGTGAAGACACTCAGCAACCTCAAAGTCCACGTTTACCCATTTCAAATGAAGAGACGCAAAGGATCAGAAGCCTACAAGAGATCTATAATGAAACAGAATGCATAGAGGCTCTCACACTCTTCTCTCTTCATGCTGACTGCGAACCTCTATGCTACGAAGAGGCAACAAGGAGCGAGAAGTGGAGACACGCTATGGATGAGGAAATAAGATCAATAGGGAAGAATCAAACTTGGGAGCTAGCCTCTTCCAGAAGGCTACAAAGTAATTGGAGTAAGTGGGTGTTCAAGGCAAAGAAGAATGCTAAAGGAGAAGTCGAGAAGTACAAAGCAAGACTTGTCGCCAAAGGCTACAAGCAGAGGCGTGGCATTGACTACGAAGAGGTATTTGCTCCTATTGCTCGCTTAGAGACTATCAGGTTAGTAATTTCTATCGCTGCCCAAAATAGAAGGAAAATCCATCAAATGGACATAAAGTCCGCATTCTTAAATGGCTTTCTTGAAGAAGTTATATATGTGGAGTAGCCAAAAGGATATGTGGTCAAAGGCCATGAGAATAAGGTTCTCAGTCTAAGAAAGGTTCTATATGATTTGAAACAAGCACCAAGAGCCTAGAGTACAAGAATTGATCACTATTTTCAGGAAAATGGTTTCAAGAAATGTCCATGTGAACATGTACTCTATGTGAAGTTTTCAAGCAATGAAGATATGTTGTTAGTTTGCTTGTAAGTGGATGATCTCATCTTCACAGGAAATTCCCCTGGCATGATCGAAAATTTCAAGAAGGCAATGACTCAGGAGTTTGAGATGACTGATATAGGACTTATGTCCTATTATCTTGGCATTGAGGTCAAGCAATTGGATGATGGAATCTTCATCTCTCAAGAAGGATACACTAAAGAAGTTCTTAAGAGATTTGGAATGGAGAAGTGCAAGCCAATAACCACTCCCGTTGAATATGGAGCAAAGCTCTCGAAAGATGATGATGGAGATGTTGTGGATCCAACTCACATCAAGCATCTTGTTGGAAGCCTACGTTATTTAATGTGCACAAGGCCTGATATCCTATTCGCTGTGGGACTTATCAGTTGATTCATGGAAGCACCTACTACAACACACTTGAAAGCTGCCAAAAGGATACTACGTTACATCAAAGGTACTATTGATCTTGGCTTGTTATATTCCTCATGTGATGAATTCAAGCTCATGGGATTCAGTGATAGTGACTGGTCTGGAGATTTGAGTGAGCGGAAAAGCACTATTGGATCCGCATTCTTCCTTGGCAACACTACCTTCACTTGGGCTTCTAAGAAACAACCTATAGTCACCTTGTCATCATATAAGACCGAGTATGTAGCAGCAGTATCATGTGTATGTCATGCTATGTCGCTCAGGAGCATGTTGAAGGAGTTGAGTATGCCACAAGAAGAAACGATAGAGATCTACGCTGACAACAAGTCAGCCATCGATCTTGCGAAGAATCCTGTCTACCATGATCGAATCAAGCATATTGATACAAGGTATCACTTCATAAGAGAATGTGTGGCCAAGAAGGTCGTTGAATTGAAGCATACAAGATCTCGAGATCAAGTTGCAGATACCTTCACTATACCATTCAAAGAAGAAGACTTTGCAAGATTGAGGATGATGCTTGGAGTCACCAAACCAAGTTTAAAGGGGGGTGTTAGTAAATAAACTTGGTTGGTCCATTTAATAATAATATTAGGCCATCCAAATTAATTAGTTTAAATTATTAGGCATTATATTTTATTATAAGCCCAATCCATTTGAAAGAATCATCTAGAAATAAGTAGAGAAAGTAGTAGAAAAGTTCAAAGAAAATATATAGATTATGTAGAATAATCAATGGAAATATCTAGAGGAAATATCTAGATATTAGTAAGGAAATATCAAGATATTATGTGTAGGAGAAAAATCTTGAAAGTTTGTAGAATTTTCCATGAACTCCTATAAATAGGAGTTAATCCCCTTATATAAAATAGGTGTGGAGAAATTGTGAGAAACATTAAGCTAAAAGTTTAACACATTCCACCTTGTTTCCTTTTACTACAAAGTAGTAAAGTTCTCTTTCTCCCAAAAATTTCCTTCTCTTCCCTTTCCACTTCCTAAATCCATCACCTAAAAGATCTCTTTCTTATGACCCAAAGGGTTGTTTTGCTAATAGGAATTACTACTCTGGCTTTTGTTTTTGAGAGAGGGGTTATGGTAGCTGTTGATGATGGTGAGATTTCTTCTTTTTTTTTTTTTTTTTTTGCTGGTTCTATGTTAGATTAAATATATGAATATATGTATGTTCTTGTTCTTTGACTTAATGCTCAATGCTCAGTCTATATTTCGCAATCAGCATCAGAGCTGTGTGTCGAGAATGCTATTTATCTCAACTCTCATATGCTTGCGGTTTGTCTGGGAGAGATTGCAGACTATGAGCCTTTTCTCAGAGCTTTGCAAAGTGGGGTACATAAGTTTGCTGTTCTTCTTTTCTGATGTACTTAATCAAGAGAGAATGATCACTATGTGTAAGTCGCCCAACATTACTTGTTCTAAAAATTAATGGGAAAATATAGGCATTGTGTGCATTTGTGGTTTTCTGTGGTGGGGTTTCCACCAGGAAAAAAAGGATAGGTTTAGGGTAATTCGTGTAACTGTTTGTGTCCTTGCATATGTACGTGGCTGGTTTTTGTAAGATTGATTCATTCTAATTCTAGTACCACCTACATAAACTCACGCAGGGTGAAAGATGCTTCTCTGTGAAAGAAGCATCAAAGTGGGTGGTTGACACTCTTTGTTCTAGCAGCGATTATTATTTGTCATTAAAATTGCTGATTGTGGGATGGGAAAAGAAAACTGTAAGTTACTAGTGGCACTTTGTGTTTTTTTTTTTTTTCCTGCTTTCTGCTTATCGGATTTTGATGATTAGTATGGTTGCAAGATGTTTGCTTCCATGCTTGTCTCTCCGTGGGCTCCCCTGATAACTTAATAAACAGATGTTTGCTTCAATTCTCCACTGTGACACCTTTATGAATTTGTGATTTCTTTGGTCTTTGTGTAGGGTACTCCTCACTTGTATGTGGACAGTAAGGGTAATTGTATAAAAGCAAAATCTTACATCAGTGCATCTGCTTCAACCTTTACTTATGGTGGACTGATGATCTCGTAAGCCTGGCCTCCTTTTTTTCTTTTGATTTTGGTTTACTATATCATGTAAATTGTTTACATGGTTTTGTCGCTCTTAAGTAGCCTCGATTGTTTGGTCTTTCTATACAGGGATTTCTTTTACGAAAGGTCATATAAGCATGCTGCAGTGTTTGCTAGAAACACAATCCTCTCTGCTGCACGGGAAGTTGCATTTAATAGACTTGGTACTCAAAGGTTGAGAAACTAATAATACTGTTTTCATCAGTGGGTTCTGCGTAGGAGCTGAGGCGTTGGGGATGGCCTTTTGTAGTGAACCTGTTAAAGAAGAAGATAAGAAGCAACAACAGAAGACATAAATGCACGTGCTAATGCAGAAGCTACTCCAGCTTCCCGAAAGCCTCTCCATCCCGTGAAATGGAATTCTGTTTTGCTGCTCGTTAGTAGACTTGGGAGCGGTTTTATTTAACTCTGGACCACTTTTTTGTTCTATAGTCACTGCGGAGTTGTAAAGGGTGTGTTTGCTTTTGGTGCTCTTGGACATTGACCAGAGCTTTGTAGAGGTTTCATGAATCTTTATTCTGAGTTGTATCTATAGTGAAGGCAAATGACCTGAATACTACCGGCAGAATTAGATCAGAGTCTAAATAAGAGTGTTGAGTACCTTAATTTAAAGAGCTACTTTAGTGGTAGGTTTCTCATTTAGGAAGTGGGAAATTCCCAAATCATGCCATACTTTTATTGTCATTGTTTCCCTTGTGACATGATACGGCCCGTTCATAATTAGATAAGATTATGGGAAAATTTCTCTTTGGACAAATAAGTAGTGATTGGTTCTTTTTTTCTCTTTTTGGTTCACCGTGTTATTGAAAATACTGAAATCAATCTTCTCTGTAAGTCTTGGGTATTCTGGACTCCACATGTTGCCTGCTACATACTTTAAAATCTCTTCCTGCAAATCATTCCGAAGCGTTAGGAGAATTCAAACCAGAGCATCAACAAGACCAACACTTACTCTAATCCACATGTATCAAATGTATAGGTATTGCTATTACTCGCTACCTTTGATACGACATTTGATTCTTGTTCAGGGACTTGTCGAATTAAGCTTCTTCTTTCATCAGATTACTCAGAGAAGACAGCCAGCTACTCAGTCTCTTTATCTCTCCCAAGGTGACAGACAAGACAATTCTGCATAAAGCTGCAGCCTCTTGGCCTTCATTTAGAGTTTGAAAATCAACTGGGAGCACTTCATTCAGAAAGAACCGCAAAGTAGGGAAGAGAAGGCGTAAGTAATGGTATTGAAGGAGCATTTAAGACCAAGTTTGTAACTTGGTTCTCCTTAGGGCGCAATTTCATTGTATACCTGAAGCAAATACAAATTAATGGATTTCATATCATACAGTAAATCAGCTCGCTTCTACTAGGGGAACTGAAAGAATCAGAACTCCGCGAAGTATAAACAAAGTTTAGCTACCGACCCTGTATCAATTTTGATATCAGACCTAAAGATTTTCTCCCCGGCACCAAACACTATAAGTAAGCTAAGGAAGATGTTGCTTCCTCCCAGAGGAAATTGCTTTTATACATATGAACTTTGATTTGTTAAAAGCATCAACAAAAACTTCAAAATCATACATGCAGGTGTTGAAGAGCTTCAAACCCGATCTGCACGGTAAACTACCAACAGGCCAGGAAAGACACTTGGTATTCATAATCTGCTTCTATGCGTAGAATAATTCCTTATACTCTAATAAGAAGCAGCCAAGAATTTTAAGGAAAAGGTTTACAGGAAGAGGGATGAAAATCTTGATACAAACAACTTCATATGGGTGTTGTTCATGACAACCTCAAGATAATTGGCAAAAGATCTAAGGGAGCTAATAAAGATCAAGTTGCACCTTAGAACCCGATGTCCATTACGAAAGTGTCTTTTAGGAATGAAAACCAAACGCACTGAAAGAATCCACGCGGCAATTTAAAACTCCACACATTGGTGCCGAGTAAACATCCAAATCCTATTGACACAGTCAGAAATTAGGTTTGCAAGTTTTAATTCTCAATTTGTCTCAACAAATTCACTTACCATTAGCTCTTTGTTAACGATGTATTGATTCACTTAAAAGTCCTCACCATTGTATTGGACCAAATGATTGATTCTGGCAGCAAGTCATTGGAAATTGAAGGGCTGTAATCAAATTCTTGAACCGCAAAAAGGAGAGTTGCTGCCATATCAACTGTCTCCAAAGATCAAATCCGCGCATTGACCCTCACAGTAATCAGATTATCAATCCTAATTCTTGTTCTTTTCTCAAGCCGCGTGAGATGCATTTTCCCAAGCGTTGTCATTCCAATCGCGGATGGAATCTCAAACCTCAACCTAGTTTCTTCTTCCGATCATAACGCACGTTCTGTTGAGTGAATGACATAGACAAGGAAGACATGGTTTATCAAAAATATTGTTCAAGCTGAGGATCAAGTGTTACATATTTCAGGACAACTTTTGAACGTATTCATTGTTCAAACAGCCTAACAGAACTTTATTGCTTCTTTAAGCCATGTAAATAACGCTTTAGTTCTGAAATATCATATGCAAAGCATTACAGCTTTTGAATGTTGACAAGCCGTCGTCACACTAGTCAAATAATTAATTACCTACTTAATACCATTACTAGCAGTAAAGCAAAAAGTAGGGTCGATTCCACAGAGAAGGTTACCAAGTACCGGTTAAAATTATTTCTTATTATTATTTAGATTAACAATTTATCAATTTAAACTAATCTAAACCTAAAACTATCAATTGCAATTATTTAAAGATATAAATAAGTAAAAGAAAAACCTAGGGCAAAGGATTCACCAACCGACTATTCAGTTTAATTTAATCTACAGATATGTGACTTTCGACTCTCATTAATCTCACGACAATTCACCAATTTAAGAATTATACACTCTCGTGTCATAATCCTCTTACTTAGATTAACCCTATGACTACTCTCGTGACTATAGGGATTAATAAAAGTACATTAAGAACTTTGGAATTACTAGTCGCAAAGGCGGTGTTCCTACTCTCGTGGCTCACTACCTAAGTTTATTATTCCTACAAACTAATACTAGCCTTCCACTCTCGCTACTTTAGCTAGCACCTTAAAGCATGCAAATATTGATCAGGTATTCACATGGATGAAAAACAAGAATAATAAATATTAATTAATGAAAAACTCACAATCATAACTTAAATTAAATTAAATAGTACGGCGGCTACATCCAAAATCCTAGATTAAATAATTTAACTACACATCATCTTAAAAATAAATAAAACAATGAAACCCAGGAAAGAGAAGTCGCAAAATTGAGTCCGAAAATTGATCCAATGCTGCTCCTCTTGGCGATGATGGTGCGTAGGTGATGAGGTGCTGTTTTGCGTGGGTTAATATATGAGGGAGTTAATGTTGTTCGTAGATGATGGAGTTGAAATTGGTGAGGTGATTGGGTGTGTGGAGGTGGAGCAAAAGTGATAGGATGATGATGATTAAGGTGTGATGGTGATGATGTGCGAGAGGCTGGAGCTGCGTGGTGATGAAGCTGTCGTAGTGGTGGATTAAGGTGGGTCGGTGGAGGATTTTTTTTGGGTGAAGGACGGTCCAATTCTCTCCAAAAAATAAAACTTTAATTTTCCTTTTATACGCTTTCGTCAAATCTTATTTCTTCAGGAATAAGAAAGTTATTTTTTTTTCAAGCCAATTTAAATTAAAACTCCTCCAACTTTTTAAGTGCTTCAATTTCTTCCTTGTCAATTTATCAAATCTTCAATTCTCCCTTTGAGTTGCTTTTTCTTTTCAATTTAGTCCAAAATCTCAACAATTCTTCCATTTGAGTACAAAACCAACAAATAAAGATAAAATCATATAAATAGCATATTTGTACTCAAAATATATTGCAAAAATCACAAATTAGGGATATAATAAATAGATAAAATATAAGCATATCAAATGTATTTTTAAGTTGCCACTAGAACTGTTGGCTCCACAAAGGAATATACAGAAATGTAACTAACTATGAAAATTAAAAGAAAGGATTGAGAGAACTAGAAGTCCACTACCTGCTAAATAATCGTATACTAGAATCCAGAACTTGCAAAGATACAGTTGTCATTATTCAAGGGAGAAATACAGTTGACTGGCAGCCAGTTTTCACAAATTGTAACAAATTTATCTACAGTTACAAAACATGACACTAAGGATTTTCCAAGAAAACTCTTTAAAAATTCACAAATCAAGGTTGAAAATGGGGAGAACAGGAAAAAAAAAAAAAGAAGATGAGAAAATGACTGTAAACAGCAGCCAGATAGCGGATAGTCAAAAGACAGTCATCTCTTTTACCTGCCTGTTCGAATGCCAAAATTTCAAACAGTTCCATGAACATTTCTATCAATTGTCTCACTTCTTTTCCAGCAAACACTATCCAAGAAGGTACTGAACTACTAATGATCTGCCGCTTACAATCTCTTAGACTTCAGGCGAAAAAAATAACCTCAAACATCGAAGGAAGAACAACGAGACTCCATATATTTTGGGCTGGCTATTTGGATCATATGCCTCCTTGTGCTCTGTCATCACTGACAATTTTATTAGGATTTGATTACATTATGCCATGTTTGTTAGTTCATCTTTTCAGGTGCGCCCTCATTCATCGTGAAAGTTTAAATGGACCTTTATCTTCCACCATCTAAAGGAAATTAAAAACAGTTATTCTCTTATTTATATGACAAATGACTCTACTCAGAACAAAACAGGTAACTTAAAGTTGCAGTTTTTAAGCACGCAGTCAACGATCATATCTTGCTGACAATATTGGCATTACTCTAATACTTCACAGCACTTACATGGTATAGATAATTTAAAGATTAAAGCAATTTATACATCAACCTCCTGACCACTTGGAATCGTATGCGAAATTATACTAACTGACAGTGATCTGAACAAGTCAACAGAGGCAACATGTACGCTATTTCTACTTAAGTACATAACTACTAATTAATATATGGACGAGGTTGGTCAAACTTTCTCATTTGTTTCTTTTTTTGCTAAGGACCTTATTCTTTTTGCTGAAGCTTTTATTTCACATGTACAAACGATTAAACAAACCCTATAGTTTTTTTTTCTTTTTTGTAAAGCCTCAGGTTAAGAAGTTAGTTTCGAGAAATAAGTGGTGTATTTCTCTCATCAGGTAGACATTTCAACGCCTCAATTC